TTTGGCCCTACTTTTTCACAGACGAGTCCCGGGGAGCAGCGGCGTCGCGGAAACGAGAGTAGGTAGGTACCGATCGGATTACGTATCTCTATATAGGTACAGGCATAAATATATGCGTCTCGAGGTTCGATTTTTTTCGCAAATCTCGCGTTTTATACGTCCGAGGGCGGGGGATCCGGTTGTCCGCTCGGCGGCTGTGGGTGAGTTGCGGCCCGAAAAATTATCATTATCTATGTAGGTACCTATTGGCTAGTAACTACATTATGTGCGATATACCTGTCGGCTGTCAGATAGCTATACATATAGTTATAAACGAATAACGATAAACGAATTGTTCGATACGTTTGGCAAGTTATATCTTTACCTATTTATATAGGTTAGATATATAGGTCATAGGTATATCTTTATAATAAAGATAATTTAGATCGTTTCATTGTATTATCTGCCATATGCCATAAGAACAAAGAAAATGTTTGAAAAAGAAGCTTTCATTAGAGAACAGATGACAAAACTCGAGCTAAAAGAAATAGATAATTTTGAATTAATTAAATCGTTAAGTTTTAAGATTTTGCCAAAACAATAGAATATTATTATCATTATATTATATTATATTCTAGTAACGCAAAATATTATTAGCTAATTTTTTTTTTATTTATATTCTTGAAATGACAAATTTTAATAATATACAATACTAGAAAATACGTAATATTAATAAGTTTATATTGTGATGTTTATATACATGTATACTATGTATAGTCTGGTATAGACTATAGTATATATTATATATGTAGTTTATAGATTATTGTTAATTCGTACGTACTTCTCATAAACCTGGGCCGCAACTCTTACGCTATTTAGGGTTTGGGCCGCAACTCACCAACGCCGCGGTCGGCGACGCGGTCGGATCGCCCGCTCAAACGCCCTTTGACGCGGCTTAACTGCTTAAGAGTCATAGATTTGACTCCAGTTTTCATCTCAGTAGGGTAGGCGTTAGGTTAGGTGACTCGTAGGTCGTGCGTTGGATTCCGGTCCCCGGGATTATCGATAATTTACGGCGGCCGTGTTAAAATCGGCATTTTTTTTTCGTCGTTTCGCTATCACAGGCATAAATACATGCGTCGCGTCGTTTTTTGCTGTTTTTTCCTAAAATTCGAGTCTTGGCCCGTTTTAGTGGTATTACCCTCCCCGTTTGGATGTTATTCGCGTTCCCTGCTAAATTTATAGCCGGTGCGTGGCCCTACTTTTTCGTAGTCGAGTCCCTCGGCCCTACTTTTTCGTTGACGAGTCCCCCGGCGGCCGGCGGACGAGTCGATCGCCGAGCGCGCCGCGTGGCGTCGTCGCCGTTTCGACGGTTTTTCGGACTTTTTAGACTAGCGGTTTAGAGTCGCGTTTAGCACCTTTACTAGACGTCCGAGAGGTACCGCTATATACAGGCATAAATACATACGTCTCGACTCTCGAGGTTCGATTTTTTTCCCAAATCTACGTCCGAGGGCGGTGGAGCCGGTCGTCCGTTCTCCGACGCGGTCGGATCACCCGCTCAAATGGCCTTTGACGTCCGTCCGTCCAAACTGCGTTCGCCTTTCGCGTGCACGGCGAAGCGGCTTAAGAGTCATACATTTGACTCCGATTTTCATCTCAGTAGGTGGCTAGGTAGCACAGGCGTATTTAGATATTTTTGTTTGGGGGAGGGGGGGGCTGTGGTGTTTTCTCCAACTGAAATTCCCAAATTCAGCCTATTAAAAATAAGAGTTAGAAAATTAGTACACAAATTAATTTTTGTCATGATTTTTAATGTTTTCAAAAAATGTATAATGAAATAATATATAATAATAATAATAATAATACGATATTAATATAACAAATCAAATCAAATTTAAATTTCTTTCTTTGCCACTGTTGGCAAATTTATCTATAAAATGTCATCTGGTATGTCAATGTCTATGAATAGCTAAAAGGACAAGTCCCACTATTCACTAGTCTGGATTCTTAAAGTTCAATTTTGACAAAATACGTAAAAATCACAAAAATTTGCAATTATTTTTGAGTTAGAAATACATAAAAATTTTATTTTTAAATCTAACATTTGAAAATTTAATACAAGATTACTCATAAGTTTATCTACCTTTATCAATAAAAAAATCTCTACCGGAAAGTCAAATTAAATTTTTATGAGCGTTTGAAATTCAAATTTTTACAACATTGATATTCACTCGATTTCTCATGTAGCGATTTCCTTATTTTGTTGTTATTCAATAACGAATAACAATAGATACATGAAAATTTCACTGAATATTAGCATTTCCTATACACTGAAAAAAATATTGTAGGTAAAATTAACAAATCAACTTTGTAAACAAATAACGAACATCTATTTTGTTAATACTATAAGTATAGTATTAAAATTAAAATTAATTTGTAAAATTAACAAACTCGGTGTAAATCTCCACTAATAATTAATTAAATCAACAATATCAATGTTTATAATTTGTACAATGCATTGTAATTTTAATAAATTATACTTTATAAATAAATTACAAGAAACATTATGTTAAAATAAACATTCATCATTGAAAAAATAAATCATTATATAAAAATAATGAAACAGTATTATTATTTCAACATATCTATTCATTAAAATATTAACGAAACTTTTGTTAAATTAGAAAAGATAATCAAAATACAAAAAATAACATTACCGTTGTTATTTTATAAAATCTTTTGATTAATTTTACAAAAAATATTATATGGTTAAAATTATTTTGGTATTATTGGGGTATTTCCACTGTGATAACTTTGCGATTGCGGCGGCATTCCCTCCGCACCGCTCCATCCTGTTGTATAGTCACTAAGATATTATACCTACAACCTACTCCATACGACCGCGGACCGTTACGACTTACGAATGATACTGAAATCCTCGTGTCTCACCGGTGTCACTTGTCCTATTCATAGGCGCAAATTGGGGGGGGCTTGGGGGTGCTAAGCCCCCCCAAACTTAGCCTTAGCCCCCCCAAAAAACCTAGGACATAAAATTGTAATATGCTATATTGCAATGGTCTGCTTGTCTTTAATATATTCAGCCCCCCCAAGTCAAAAGTTGAAATTGCGCCTATGGTCCTATTATACCTCCTAAATTTTTCTATATAAACGATTTTTACGTTTTCAGTTAAATACATTCTGCATAATATATTTTTTGTATTCAATGTGTGACGTTATCGAATTTAATGAAAGTTAATTAAAGTTTTCACCACAAGTCATCTATACAGTTCACTTAGAAGTTAGAAGGTAAGTTTTAACAAAATATAACTAATAATTATTATTTATTAAGGTACATACATACCTATATTAAAATATTTAATACAATTAGGTAGGTATAATTATTGTTATTTTAAATTTCAAAGTTTGTGATTTTCATTCTTTGTGTCCCAATATCAAAATAATTATGTACCTATACCTAATGTAGAAACAAATCACCTTTTTGAATTTCTGTTTATTTGATTCCTTCTTTTATAAAAAATATCACTCGTGTATTACCAATATGAACAGGTAAGTAGGGCTGACTTACGCTGGATCAAATTCCAATAATATTTAATCCTAAAAGCAAATTATTCATACTCAAATATTCATGTGGTAATTCTTGTAATGTTTAGTATAATTAATATTTATATAATTTAATATTATTATGAAAATATATTTTCATATAGGTACCTAATTATTTTGAATGATAACCTTAAAATGAAAATTATATTCAACAATTAAAACTGTAAAGTTATTTTTTATAGCCTGGTAAAAATATAATAACAGTGAGTACCTACCTATATAATTATTAAAGAGATTATAATTTTGGTAGGTAAAATTGTTAAATAGGCATTTTAAGTTAGTTTTGATAATGATTTGTTACATATGTAAACGTGAGTGTGGACAATTACAGTCATTAGTTATCCATTTCAAAGTTTTACATTTACTAGGCCCTGATAGTTCTTATGACTGTTGTGAAGAGTCATGCTCTCAGTCATTTCAGAGCTTAAGTTCGTTTAAAAGGCATGTTAAAAACAAACATTTTAAGTTAAGATCAACTGATTCTGTACCTACTCAAAGTCATATTATTAACAACACAAGTTCTTTCCCTCTGAATACCACATCTCATACACCATCTTTATTTATACAAAATGATACTTTTAATGGCTTTAATTATCAATCAGCAATTTCTGATCTCCATAAATCTGCTGTACAATTTGTTGTCGGTTTACATGTTAAGAATAACATCACATTTCAAGATGTCTTGAATATTCAAAAAGGCATTGTAGAACTCATAACAAAACCTATAGCTACTTTATTAGACAATTTTGTAAAGGAAAAAATTAATGACCCACTGTTATTATCATCATTCAAAGAATTGTCATTGGATGTATCAAACACATTTACACTTTGTAATACTGAATACCGCTTAATGAATTGGCTCATGCAAGAGCAGTACATAAGTAATTTAAACCAGATAATAATTAACCAAGAAGTAACTTCTGTATACAATAAAGGAGAAGTGGTGTATGATGAACATGTTACAAAAGGTCTATTAATGCCCATGAAATTCCAATTCAAAAAATTTTTTGAACATGAAAATAATTTTCAGTTATCACTTGACCGTATAAATAACTTAAATTCTTCTAACAATTTGACAAATTTCATTCAAGGTGATTTATGGAAAACCAAGTTGGTGAATTTTTCTGATAAAATAGTTTTTCCATATTTTTTATTCATAGATGATCTAGAAATAAATAACCCACTAGGTTCCCATTCTACTTTTCAAGCTGTTAGTGCTGTTTATTATTCATTTCCATTATTAGAATAATATCAGAATTATATTATCAATAACTGTTACAAAGCCATTATTAAGCTTATGCGAAATACTTGAAAGTTCATCACAAGGACATTTGGTGCTTGCCAACTACAAAAAGTATGGTTCATTAAATGACGCGTGTAGATTAATTCTTGTAGATATGGTAATTAAGACAGCAATAAAAGAAGATGTTATTATGACAGTTAAAACTGCAGAACAAATTTCTGATCAAATTGTTGCAGCTTTCCCAAAGGAAGTTAAGGTACTTTGTTTTTAAAACTATTGAATATAAATGAGCAAATGTAAATTTAAAATATTAATTTGTTTAGGATTATTATTTTATGCGTGAAGGCAGCAAAGCTCCTAAAGGAAAGTTATACGCAAAGTATCATAATGTGGTGCGCAATTTAAAAAACGGTGGGCTTATAGAATCAACAAAAAGACCTAAACCATCAAATGTTGAAATGAGTAATGTCCGTCACATGATTAACTTTGGTGAATATTTTGATGAATTAAAATTTGTTTTTGATTTTTGTAACTATTAAAATATTGGTATTTACCTTTTTTTGTTGCTTTATAGATTCTGAAACTGATATAGATCAATATTTAAATAGTCTGAATCATGATAACTGCACATTCAATGAAATTGAGGTTATTTGGAAGGCAACTGTCAAGTATAGGCTAAATTATATTAAAAACAGTCAGAGTACAACTGAGACATTAAAACATTGGAGCAGTTACAAACTCCCAGCTGGTTATAAATTAGTAAGTATAAACATCATAAAAAATTTTGAATTGAAATATTTTAATTATTATAATATAAAATAATAATAATAATAATAATAATAATTTAAACTTTAAAGTTTATTAATTGTATAATAAATAGATTTGTATAGAACTATGTTAAATGTTATATTATATTTAATTTATGACAAGCTATATATTAAATAATCTAACCGAAAAAACAAAGCCTAGAATATTATAATGTAATACTTTTAATAATTAATAACCAGTTTCGACATAAAGTCGTTAGTTTGTTATAAACAAAATACCTGTATAAAAATATGTAGTATTATTCTATATATACTTTTATTTAATTCCTTATCTACCTATATTAATTCATTTTTTTATCCTAGATTGATATTGATTTTAATATGCTCTATCCATCTGCATCAAACTTATTGACTATTTATCCAGATGTATCATCCAAACTTATGGAATTGTTAAAGTTAAAAATAAAAGATTCACAAAGTTTAAAACTACTAGATGAAATTCTCGAAAAGAATTTGTTAGAAAGTATGTATTCTCTTTAAGCATTAAATATTGCGTATGTTGTAAATTATTTATTATTTTTCAGATGGTCGTGATGCTTGTATATTTCATCTTTTACACGCAGTATTTATTCCTACTGCAAAAAAATCCACTCGTAACGAAAAAGGCCAAAAATCCATGATAAAGTTTTCAATTAGAGATTCACAGCAGTCATTTATGATTAATGTTGATACAGTTTTGCAGTTCGAAGATATAATAGCTAGAAAAAAAGGTATGTGTATTCAATAATTGGAGATTGGAGAAATATGTGTGTATGCTATAAATGTTTTGGTGTAATTATACGATACCAAATCAAGGTAAAAAGAAAATTATATAACATGACGTTATGAAGCCAGCAATATGTTGTATGAGTTCTGACGTTTCAAATGTAGTGTACCTAGTATATAAAATAACAAAAGATAAGTGTTTAAGAGATGCAAATGCTAAGATTAATGAGTAGAGTTACTATAGAAAACAAATTAATGTTATGGTTTATAAAGTATATGCGTGGCAAAAATATTTGACTAGATGAGATAGAATATATTGATATGGTTTGGGAATGTCTTATAGAGGGAGAGGCAGAGACAATTGTAAATGCATGAAGTGTGGAAAATCTAGAAAAGAAGAGGATACAATTTATTAGATCTAAACAAGAGGGTAAAGAATAATAAGTTTAATTGGAGTGTGTAAATTAAAAAAGTGCAAGATAAATGATTTGTATAATACAATTTACTCTTAAAGTATTTCCAAACTTTATAGACAAACATAGGTAAATTATCACTGCTTATATAATTAAATCTATAAAAATGATTTGACTATTTGAATGTTTAATTAAGATTATTTATATTCAAATATGAATTTCCTTCCTACAAATATTTTTTATTTAATTCTAATTTTCAATTGTTCACAGGTTTAGGTATCCCAATCCAACCATTTATTGTGATAATTGGTCAATTACATGAACCAAAAGACATAATTGTTTACTTTGATGATATTAAATACAAAGTTTTAACCATTCAGAGAGCAGTTGATGTCGTTTTTAAGTTGTTCCATACATTCAATTTGTTATATCCTGATGAATCTTATATTTTATGGTTATTCATACAAAAGTTTTTTTATAATATTCACATTAAGTCAGACCAATCACATCCAATTATAAGTTTAATTATTTCAGAACTAAATAAATAAAATATATTATTAAATATATATTTAATAAGTATTGATTTTATACCCATACCTAAGTATTTTGTATTGTGAAGCCAAGAAAAGGCCAAATTTTTATATATTATAAATATTTCCTCTATTCATTTTCTATTTATGTTTTATTAAATATTATTTTATTAATAGTTTGTATAATTAACTTTAGATTTGTATTAAGTATTGAGATTAATTTTGTGTTGTAAAGCCAAGACAAGGGCAACATTTTTTATATTAAATATATTGTAACTCAATTTATTTTCTATTTATGTTTTATTAAATATTATTTTATTAATAGTTTGTATAATTAACTTATAATTTGTAGTAAGAGGTAAGAAAAATGTATTGTGAAGCCAAGACAATTTGATATACTGTCACTAACATATTAAGGTAATACATTGTAATACATTATCATAATTTGTTATTTTATTGTTTTGTTTAAATATTATAATAAATTTTAAAAAAACTACTTTTTAGTTTATTTTAATTGAGCCTTGTTCATTTTAAATGTACATTTTTAATCTATATCATAAAAACTATTATATATTATATTATGACTTATATATTTTGTCAGTTGTACCTGAGGAACCTAAGGAGTAAGAACTATAAGCAACAATACAACTTTGTAAATAATACAAATCACATTATGGAATTAACAGACATATTAATTTAAAATAATAAATGTTGATTGTGTATTTGACATTATTAAAATTTTTATCAACAAATTATATTGTTGAATTAACCTTCAAACAACAATAAAACATTGTAGTAAACAGAAATCATATTATAGAATTAACAGAAAAATTAATTTAAAACAATAAATGTCGATTGTTAATTAGACATTATTAAAATTGTTATCAACAAATTGTATTGTTGAATTAACTATCCTTAATTATGTTAATAATAATAAGGTTAATTTACGTTTAACACAATATCTGTTGTATTAACAAAGATAATTGATGTTTTATTCATATTGTAAATTTAACAATGTTATTGATGTAGGTATAATAATTTATTTGTTAGCTCAGGAGTAACAAAAATATTGTTGAATTTACCTTATTTTTTTTTGTTTTTACCTACTTATTTTTTTCAGTGTACACCATTCAATTTTGAAAATATTTTGACTTTTTTGAGCTGTGTACGGACATTTACGGTTTTCATTTTTTTTGGGTTTTTTTTTTTATAAATATCAATAAAGTTTTATCTGTTGGGCCAAAAAGTGTAAAAATTTAATACAAGGCTCCTGATATATTGTTACAATAGAAGTTGAAAAATATTAAAAATACATAGGCACAGTTTTTTTTTATAAGCATTTAAAGATCGAATTTTGACAAAATTTATCAAATTTAAAATTGAATAATTATTTTGTAGTTAAAAATTTATAAAATGTTCAACTTTTATATCTAAGTGTTGAAAATTTAAACAAGATTCCACATAAGTAGTTAATTCTGTTACCAAAAAATCAAAAAAATACATAAGTTATACACAGTTTATTTTTATAGTCATTTTAAGTTCAAATTTAGATGAAATTGCATAAAAAAAAAACTAGAATAACTATTTTAGTTATTTTGTTGTGATTGTATAATATTATTCGTGCTTGGGTACTTGAAACTTCTAAAGTACACTATTATATATTATCTATGATACTATGATAGTATCGGGGTTTGTTGTTGATGTTTAATGCGTTATACGTACCTAATGGATATTGTGATATGATTAATTTGGAATTTATTATAGGTACCTATTATAGGTCAATTTTTTTAATACGATAGATAAGTACATTTATAATACCTATGTCTTATACCTAGGCTGACACTGTCTCCGCTCAGAATCGTTTTTCTTATACAATGATATTATATCATTGGATTCATATTTAATACCATCCATTATACAGTGACCCACTTGTAACCTACTGTACAGCAGAGCACCTTTTTTGTTTGTTTGAATACCCCCTGTTAAAATCTTCTGGATCCGCGCCGGACAAGTCATACACTCATACAGCTAAGCGCAAATGATTTTAGTATTCTACTATTATATAGGTATACCGTATACCTATACTATTCTACACACATATACAACATCCTAAAATATAGGCTATATAATAGAATATATTAGATTCTGAGCGGAGAGATAAACATATTGATTTTAGTATTTTACAGTGATGTGTATTTTCAACAGCGCCAGAAAAAAACAGTTAAAAAATTAAGTAAAAACAGGAATTATACGCAAAATCGGTTTTCAACTAAATCAATTTTGATTTTTGGTGTAACTCTAAAACAAATTAGGTACCGTAGAAATTTTCACTTAATGTTTATATTAACATTGTCTATACATGATAAATTTTCAAAATATTTTTTATTGATTTCAGCTAATAACGTTCATATTCAGTTTCCAATATTTTTATTAATTTTTTCTATAAACGAATATAAAATTTTATTTGTTGGGTCAAAAAGCTTAAAAAATTAATAAAAGGCTCCTTATATATTGTTACAATAACATTTGAAAAATATTAAAAATACATATGCACAATTTTCTTTATTAGCATTTAAAGTTCAATTGTTGACAAAAAAAATGTAGGTATCAAATTTAAAATTTAAAAATGTATAAAATGTTCAACTTTTATAGCTAATGATTTAAAATTTAAAATAATGTTCCACATAAATGAACGTTAATACGTTATATATAAATTACTTTATTCAGAATATCATCAAATATAATTATAGTTATTTCATTGATTATAAATACTGGTATTTATAATAAACTGGAATATCATGATAGACTGATACATTGTTTTTCTTATATCAATGATAATATTATAATATCATTAATACCTCATTACTTATTAGGTAGTTATTTGCTCGAAATTAAAATATTTGTCTACACCACCAGAAGTACTCCACTCATTTCATAAACAAATTGTATCGAAAGATACTTGATACTTGATACTTTGAAACATTAATTTTTCAACGACTAGTTATATGTATACTGAGGCACTGAGGTTAGTTACGTAATGATCGTTTGGCCACCCTACTACGAAGGTATAGCCGGTATGGTGGTATGCCGGTATAGGATGTATTCAATTGTATTGATATTAAATAAAAATTTTAATATACCTATAGGTATTAGGTATACACTGTACCTACTTAATAATTATCCTATTGTTAACCAACGTGTTATTCGATTCAACACTAGCTTGAGCTCTCAGCATCAACGTGTGTTTTTTGTCTGCAGAATTTATAAATAATCCTACCAGGTACAAATTCTCTAATGTTACTAGGTATTGAAAAATTTAAAAATTTAAAAAAGTAGGTAGTACCTATATCAAATGAGTCAATTATTTAAAGGTCCACTGCACTGTACTGTAACAGGCTAACACTCTACTGCAGTTGCAGAATCCTGCAACAGGCATTCTGTTGGAGCTCTTATTACAAGTATATTTGTGATACGGGTAATACCTACTACTAATACTATAGTTATATAGTGTTATACAGTTTTGGTTACAACTTACAATACTGTTTATTTCATCCATGCATTATATTATATACCTATTACGTTTTAGAGACCGCTTTATACTTATATAGGTATAGTATTATAGTAAAGTTATAACCAACACGTCTAGTGTCTACGTAAAGCAGTGGCGCCGAACCTATATAGTAAGGGTGGCGACCGCCACCCCTTTTTATAAGTGGGTGGGTGGTGGGTCCTGCTATGCAGGTGGGCAAATACCTAACAGAAGAAATTTGACGGCTAGATACTGAGTGTTCGATAAGTAAATTAGTACTTGGAATCAAAAGTGTAACGACTGACGACTGTAACGTCTATACACCGTGTCGCTGTATTCCTGTGTATTAATGAAATAGGTAGTATATATACGTATTCACTATAGACGTATAGTGAACAGTTTAAATTGTGTTATCTATTATTTTTACATTATCAGTTAGTGGTTTTTCGTACTGTGAAGTGGCTATTTTAGCCAACTTTTTTATTGTAAATACCAATAATGATATAATTATTATATTGATATAAAATTATAAAAAGGTGCTCTGCTGTACAGTAGGTTACAAGTAGGTCACTGTATAATGGATAGTATTAAATTTTAATTCAATGATATAATATCGTTATATAAGAAAAACGGTTCTGAGCGGAGACGATATTATGTCAGTCTAGGTATAAGACATATTATATACTTATCTATCGTATTAAAAAAAATTTACCTAAAATAGGTACCTATAATAAATTTCAAATCAATTATATCATAATATCCATTAGGTTCTTATAATGCGTTATACGTCAACAACAAACCCTGATAATATCATAGTCCATACTCCATAGATATATAATAGTGTACTTTAAAATTTTCAAGTACCCATGAATCACAACAAAATAACTAAAATAGTTATTCTAGGTTTTTTTTATGTAATTTTGTCCAAAGTTGAACTTAAAATGACTATAAAAATTAACTGTGCTTATGAATTTTTTAGATTTTTTGGTAACAGAATTTACTACTTACGTGGAATCTTGTTTTAAATTTTCAATCCTTAGATATAAAAGTTGAACATTTTATACATTTTTAACTCCAAAATAATTATTCAATTTTAAATTTGATAAATTTTGTCAAAATTCGATCTTTAAATGCTTATAAAAAACAATTGTGCCTATGTATTTTTAATATTTTATCAACTGATATTGTAACAATATATCAGGAGCCTTGTATTCAATTTTTACACTTTTTAGCCCAACAGATAAAACTTTATTGATATTTATAGAATAAAAAACTAAAAAAATGGGAAACTGAAAATGTCCGTAAACAGCTCAAAAAGAGTCAAAATATTTTCAAAATTGTATGGTGTATAAGAAATGCTAATATAAATATTCAGTGAAATTTTCATGAATCTACAGTCATTCGTTTTTGAATTACAACAAAATAAAGAAATCGCTACATGAGAAATCGAGTGAATATATAACGTTGTAAAAATTTAAATTTCAAACGC